AATGCGGTGAAAGAAGTGCCACTATTTCAAAGGCCAAGAAAGAGTACGGGCTGTGTTCGAAGCTCATAGTCACGTGCGGCAGTTGTGACTTTCCCGAAAAGCGTTTTTCGTCCCCACGTACAGCCGACGAGACCGACACCAAAATAAGGCCATTTGAAGTTAATATGTGTGCCATGAAGGCCATCAACAGTATCGGCAAAGGGGCAACAGCTCTGTCGGACTTCTTCGCCAGGATGAATATTTTGCATCGAGGGCTTCACCACAAGAGTTACCAAAGCCACATGAATATAATGAAAGAAGCCTGCTGTGCGGCTGCAGCCGAATGCGAAGCGGCGAGTGTTGCTCGCCTCAAGGAGCTCTATGCGGAGTTCGGCAACGCGCCCGGAAACGTCGACGTCATTATAACGGCACCTGGCTTACGTGTGGACATAGCTCGCATATATGTGTTGGCTGCATTGTTGAGATGTATAGTGGCCTCGTGATAGACCATATTGTGCTATCGAACTTTTGCCTGGCTTGCACCACAGGACCCAAGGAAGGGAAAGCAGGACATTCTGCCTGGCTCATTCAGCATGCCCCTCTGTGCCAGAAGAATGTTGATTGTAATGCTGGCCAGATGGAAGTAGAGGCAGCACTACGCTTGTTTGAGCGGTCACTTGAAAAGCACAAGCTTCGTTATACGACAATGCTGTCAGACGGTGACAGCAGGACATTCCATGCACACACAGAAAAAGAGGTGTACGGCTTCATAAAGGTGACCAAAAAGGACTGCATAAATCATGTACACAAGCGTACGGGAGCTGCCTTACCTACCCTTGTAGAGAAAAAAAAAAGCTCAAGGTGGCTCACTTGGTGGAAAGGGCAGACTTACGCAACAAAAGATAAAGAAGATCACCCAGTACTATGGCTACGCATTGAGAAGCCACAGGAACGATGTTCAAGGTATGCAGAGGGCTGTTCTAGCAACTTTGAACCACATGTCTTCAACTGACGAGGCACCAAAGCATGACCTTTGCCCTGAAGGCCATGAATCTTGGTGCAAATTTCAGAGAGCTCTTGCGAAAAATGAGAAGCCGCCACCACACAAGGACAGCCTGCCTGATTTCGTAACTGAGGCATTGGAGCCTGTGTTTAGGCGGCTGAGCGAAAATGCCCTCATGGAAAGGTGCAGCGATGAGATCACCCAGAACCCAAGTGAGAGCCTGCATGCTATGATTTGGCAGCAGGCCCTCAAAACTCAGCATGCATCCTTGCGGAGCATTGAAAGGGCAGTAGCCGAAGCCATCAGCCGCTTCAACCAAACCAAGAGCAACATGGAAATCGCCAAGAAGCTGGGCTACAGCGCTGGCAATAACTTGGTGCGTCGCAGCCTTGAAAAGGACAAGGGCAGGCTGCGAAAACCGCGAAGAGAGCATCTCAACAGCAGTTCAATAAAGGAAAGACTTTCAAAGCGTCACAAGCCAGCAGGGGACTCTGCTTACAGCCCTAGTCTGCTGTAAACAGTCATGATGGCAAATAGTGAGAGTTTTTGCAAAAATAAATATTCTTGGTTTTAGACCTAAACATTGTGTAAATCCAAGGACAACATTATTACATGATTTTTTTTGTGTTCCTTTCACTTGCAAGGCACTGAAACGACCACAAAGTAAAAAAAATAAGAATTCTCATACTGAGTCAATGACTATTTTATAGTTCTAGAACAAGCTATGAGCAGTATTCTGGGTGGGTACAGTGAAATTTAGCATGACCATTTATCCTATAGTATAGAGCTACAGAATGATGTCATTATTATCACTGTAGCTTCACTTTAGCAAAAGTTAAAGTTGCTAAAAACTTCAAGTGCGTTTTTTCTCAGTTGGATGTTCTTGCACATTGCACTCGGCCTTACGGGGGTTTTTTCTGTGTTAAACTTGAGTGAATGCGACAAAGTTGGTATCATTTTATTCGTCTTGACATGATCTAGGGAGTGATGCTATTTCTATTTCTCTAGCATCACTTCAAAAATTACCATTGAAGATTTTAGTGAGAGAAATTTAGTGTAATATAGTGACCATAAGTGTTCGTCTGTTTTCTTGCTTATAAAATGCCTTCAAATGGATAAAAATAGCATCACCCCCTACAGCAAGTCTCCAGCATTGGGATTATGCATTCACTTTTTGGATTTAGCAAGAATAAATTGCCAAGAAGTCCCGTAAGAACTAAGCAAGTAATTAAGATTCAGACCTTCATATTTTCTACACCACTTGAAATATTAAGAAACAAATTAGAGTTTAAAATCAGCATGAAAAACTAGCTTAGGTAGTGAAGTTTGGTTATGATTGAGCAAAAAATTTTACAAAAATTTTAGAACCCACGTCCCCCCTTAAAGCAACGGGACGATGCCTTTTTCAGAGGGGGGCAATGCCACGTTCCATCTCCCAAGTTTTGTTATCATCCTAAAACACTACACAATTCTCAGCGCAAACCGCACCTGCAGTTTTCGAGAAGCTTCCAAACTGTAGTAAACCATTTCGATAAGATCACGCCCACTCTGTGAACTATACAGATTATTCTGGAATCTACGCCACCGCCAGCGATAACGCTAGAACATTCGACGGCAAGAGTATAAATGCGGACGCGCTTCACCGCTTGTGAGTAGTAGTTGATCGACGGCCAACGCTCCGTTCGCCGCTATCAGTCCAAGACTGCTACTCTGATCGGACTTTCCATTTACCGGGCACAGGTTCACCCAAATAAACAGTTACATTCCAACACAAAGTCTCCTGTCTTCAGCCACGTCACGAACCCGTGACAATATGGAAGCTCAAGAAAAAAAAAAGAAAGAAAGAGAAAAAAACTGCACACGGTGTCCAGCTGGTCACGATGCGCCGAGGCGCTTATCTCCCACGCGTACTTTGCCCCGCAAATGGGGGGAGGGAAGGGTAGATGCTTGTACGTGCGGGCTTATCCTTTGGAGAGGAGAATAGCGCGCCCACGACTTTGACCAAAACGATTGCCGTGTAGTTATCGGGCCCACAAAGATCACTTCGTTTGCTGGACAGGTGCGGTTTGTTCGTGCGTTATTCAAACTCAGCGAAGTAAGAACTGGAGCACTTGTCAGTTCGCACTCATATCTGTACCTGTGATTATGTTTCCTGCCTCGTTTTTCTTTAAACAGCGCGTAAAGTGTCGAGCGGTAAATGTTGTTAGTTTACTTTCGTCCTCGTGCGTCGTTTGTGCTTGAGCAGCACACTGCACGTTTTTATCTGCTTGCCGTTCTCAGCGTTACATTCCAAGTTGTTGCTATCGCATTCAATGCTTCGCCCTTGCCGCGAAACTGTGACTATTATTAATTTCAAACAACTATATCGTCGCCACCGAGGGGATGTCAGACTAGGCGCTGATGTAAACTCTTAGAGATCATGGTGGCTATGGATCTTCGAAGCTCGACTCGTCACGCCCTTCTGTCTTGCGCTGAGAGTTCGCAGGTTCGTAGCTTTCGTCATTAGCCGATTATTTCTGGCAACATGACGTGCACTTTGAATGCAATGCAATGAACGTGATAGCAAAAAATTGAAGTCTTATAAGAAGCAAGGCTGGCGGCCAATATCGCAGATCCAATATTGCGGAACTCTTGTAAAATGCTGGTGTGAACAAATATGGACGCTCCAGGGAGAAGTGCTCTTTTTACACAGTCCCTTCGTGTTGAAACCGCACTGATAATAGCAGAGACAGCAAGCGCACCAGCAATCGCGACTTCCCTTAAAATAAAAGTTCATTATTGCTACTCGAGCGATTCCCCCCCCCCCCCCTCCTCGCATTGTTTCATGCTTGTTCAAGACAGGTGGTTTACTTTCTGTATGAGCATTCGACGGCAGTTCTAACACATGGGAGATGTTAGCTTATGCACTTCCCAGGCGATAGGGATGGGCCAACTCATTTGATCTTTGCGTCAGCAGCACTCGCGTGATTTTACCCACTCATGAAAGTTACGATGCGCAGGGGCATGTTACAGAACATTGCAGTGACAGCAAAAGTCCGCTGAGAGTGTCCACATAATTGCTGCGGAATTTTTACAATAAAATAAGTATCTTGGGCTAGCTTTGCCTTTAGCCTCCCGTTTGTTTAATTTGCACGTTTACTTTCCAAACTTTCGTACCGAAGCTGCATATAACAAAATCCTCTTTAAAACGAATTTTCCTGGGAATTTATCCATTTCATTATATCCAGGTTTAACTGTATAGGCTCCACCAACCACAGCACTACCTGCACCTTATCAGCTTGTCTCGAGGGGAGGAAGGCTTGAGAGCTTTTTTTTTTTCGTTCACTGTATCATGCAGCCCTTCTACTGTGTTTTCTACATCCGCTATTTCTGCTTTTCTGTAGCATATGTCCAACCGCATGTCACATCGCATGGCCCTGAAATAGCTCTTCAAGAAGACCACTTTGTGTTGGTCTGCATCATCGCATAACAGACACTTGCGCACCAAAATGCAATCATAGGCCATACACAGCGCAGTTTATGGCATGGCCGCACCACGATACCAGGACAGTCACATTGAAATGTAGAAGAATAACACTTTACCCACATTATAAAAAAGATTTTACTTACTGTCATGCCATGCTTGCCATCATGAGAGTATTATGTAAAACAAATGAAAGTGCTCTTTTTTCTTTGTTAGGTACGGCATTAATTAAAACAAGCAGACAAAAAAGCCAATGAAAGTTCCCAAGCAGGGAACACAGAATCAAGGCATGAAATGTGGATGAAAACCAGGGTGTCTAGTGCACAGCCAAACAGAGCCATTGATTCACTAATACTGGAAACAGAGACAGAGCTGCAGTGGAGTTACTGCCTAGGTCTGTGCATGTTTTTAATGCCTTTACAGTTTTACACCTTTCAAAAAATAATGTTAGCAGGGAGTTCTGTCCCTTGCTTCTCCTCCTCGCTTTCACGACAGACTATACGTGGTTGAGCATCAACCTCACGAAGAAGTATATATGCCAGGCTGTGCTCTCACCGCAGTCATTTCCGGCTGGGTAGCTGGCTGAGGGTTCAAGGTCTTCCAGGGAGACCACCTTGAAGGAGGCCAAAGGTGTTGACCCTGGCTGGGTGGAGATCATGCCCCGGAAGCGGGTCACACTCCATGTACGCACATGGCTATACTCGCTGCACACTGCATACAAAACACATGTCAGCTTATTCAGCCACTTGTCCATAAATGAATACCAGTTTCATAGAGGCACACATATGAAGAAACACATTTCTATGGTTGAGGCACAACACAGCAATAACAACCTGATGGGATTATTTTCTACATGATGCTCAATAAATTACTGACTTTCTTACTGCCCTTTTCAATGCATTACTCAAACATGGTGAGGTAACACCCGATTAGCCTGCAGCTAATCATGTTAGACAGATTTTTAAAAAAGGTGACCGCCATTCCTTGTCGAACTACCATGCTGTTTCTGTCCCCAGTAGCTGCTGCAAAATCTTACAGCGTGTTGTTGCATATTATGTTAATATATTTTTATCAGAATACAATATTTCATCCTAATATCAACAAGGTTTTCAAAAAAAATGTCTACAGTGACACAGCTTAATGTCTACAGTGCTTGAACTCGAACAGGTTTTACTATTACATACCGTATTTACTCGATTCTATCGCACCCTCGATTGTAACACGCACCCGATTTCCACCACGAAAAAAAAAAAAAGTAAGACATCGATTGCAACGCGCACCCATTTTTCTCGCTGGCCCGCACGATCACACCACTCGAAAAAAACGACTCCTTTCGGGAGTGTCTTCCATTTAAATATGAAGTACGGGCGAAGCTTGTGCCCATCTGACGTGTAACAGAGCATTGCCGTCGCTGTAGTTTTACCGTGGACCGATGTCAGCACGCGAGCTTGCTTCGCCCCCTTCTTCTCGACGGTTGTGGCGCCAGGCATGTCGAAGTAAAGAGGCGTCTGATCGGCATTCCTGATTTGCCCAAGCAGGTAGCCGTTGTTGCGCCGCAAGTTTAGGACGAACCTCTGAAAACTCTGAAGCTTTTCATCGTACTCCTCCGCAAAACTTTTCGCATATGCATGTTCCCCTTCGGAGGGAAAAGCCTTTCCTCTTCATAAAGTTAGTTAGCCAGCACCTGCTCGCTTTAAACTGGCTCCGCATTAGACCTTTTTCTAAGACTAATTGCATAGCCCGCACTTGGAGCAGTTCTGTCGTCACGGGCCGCTGTGCCACTCGCTGCTCAAGCACATACTCGCCAACAGCTCTTTAATTTGCGGAAACCGACCCTGCTGTGGTCCACTGAAGCCTTTGAGTGAAGCTTTGCTGTCGACAATCTTCTGCTTTTGTTTCCGCCGGTCCCGCACGCACGTTTCGGGAACTATACGGCCCGATTTCCGTCCGTTTCTGCACACGCGATGACTTTTCTTTCAAAAGCAACATCGTGGTGAACTCGAGTTTTAGGAGTCGGCCCTTCCACGCCATCGATGCTAATGCACTACTAGATGACGAACTCCTCAGCACACGTACGAAGTGCCTCACATAGGAAACACATAGGCAGAAATGGCAGACGCGCCATGCCGACGCACGTAGGGGGCGGCCATTTTGGATGTGCCGATGGCAATAGATTGACCGTAATTTTTTTGTTCGTACTCGATTCTAACGCGCATGCGATTTATGAACTCGCTTAACCGAAAAAAAGGTGCGCGTTAGATTCGAGTAACTACGGTACATCTGGGTAGACTTATGTGTCCTTTTAATTTTAGCAAGGCCTTTGACAAGGTGCCTCATGGAAAGCTTTTGCTTAAGCTTGAAAATATTGTGCTGTCTTTGGGCATTGTTCAGTTTATTCATGCGTATTTAAAAAACACAAGTCAATTTGTTGAGCTCAGGGGTTGTTCTTTTTCCATTGATGTTTCTTCCTGTATGCCACAAGGTAGAGTGTTAGGTCCCCTATTATAACTAATTTTAACACGGTAGCATTACAAAGCCTGTTTTGCAGAAAATCTGGCATTGGCATCGGTGTCATTGGTTGCGATCATCATCGTCACATGACTAAATAATCAAGAAAGATGCAAATAAAATAAGTAACGAGAATTCTGGGTACGGGTGGTCATCAAACCCGCGTCGTTTGGGTGGCAAGCGGGTGTTCTACCACACAGCCATGCCTCTGCTTGTGAATATACCATGAAAATAACTTCTTCTGCTTGAAAATGCAGTGCAAGTGACTTTCATGCTTTGCAAAAACATGCGTCCAGTATAGATACTTCACAATACAACATGAAATATTGCCATAATGATGAGTTGTACAAGCATACATTGTCATAGGGCGTCAGAAGATGGGATTATCATAATAACTTCTTAGTTCAAAAACCAGTAACCCACTACAAAAGGCACATACAGGACCACAGTGTATAGAACCTGTTCAGTTGCCAATTTCTCCGCATGGCCATACACTAAAAGTGGGACAAAACTTACTTCCAGTCCAGGTGGCACTACTGCAGCAACAGGCTCTTCGTTGCAAACGACAAAGTGTGAGCGAACAGCATGCATGGAGCTGCTATCCGCGCAAATATTGAATTACTTGAAAACACAAAGACGTGAATGTCTAGTTTTACTTTTTAGGAGACTGTGAAGGTTTAACACATTAGCAGGAATGTCTGAAAGCACGTTACGTAGTGTTCTACTTGCACGAACTATAGCAGGTATTCAGTGATCGGCGAATGCAGCGGCTAACAAGTTCAGTGCGACAGGCATGAGTATTGTTCAATGGCTTAGCAATTAACTATGACAACAATTTTTGTCAGCTAATGGGGTAGAAAGACTCCAAAGGTTTTGTGAAAAAATGTAACGGCAGAATTTCGTTGGAGCTGCATGAGTCATGCAGTGGGATCTGCTCACATTGTTCACATTATCCATGACTGTTTGAAATAAATTCTGAAAAAAAAAGAGCAAATAGAAACATCGCTTAACATCGTCAGGCGGTACGGCATATTTGCAGAAACACCCTCACAAGTGCATGACTACGTTGCATGTATTGTCACGCACTTTGATAGCGATCAAGCCTAGTCGGGACTGAATTTTTTTGCTGGCTTATACTTTGGTTTAGTACTTCACAATAGCCGATTCTTTTACAGCTTGCGAGGACACACTCAGAGCCTCAACATGAGCGAACAGTTCGGTCAGGTGTGAAAGCGCTTTGATAGTGTCAGATTTAGATGTCCATGCAACATATCCATTCGGTCATGAGTTTAATCCCGGCCGTGGCAGTAGCATTTCATAAGTGTACTGCGCAAAAAACAGATGGAAACAGGATAGTTGAGAACCAGGACAGACAAGTGCAGACTATCAACTGTAGCTTTATTGCAAGACCTCGGCAATATATGCAGGAAAGAATAAAATGCAAGGGAGGGCATAGGGGGAAGAGGCCCCTCGTGCCTTTTTCTCCTCTCCTTTGCCCTCCCTTGCTTTTCATTCCTTCCTGCCTACATGGCCTAGGACATATCTATTCGATCATTGCGAATGATTGCACTGATTTTAAAAAATATGTTGTATAAATGGCCACATGCTATTTCAGCAATCTCTAAGAAGTATAGATGAGTGATGCCAAAGCTGGGACATGCAACTTATTCGTGACAAAACAGTTCTTTTGAGAATACCAATAAAGCGAGCTCCCAGCCTTTATACTTATTCTCTCCACAACAACTCATTAAAAGATGTAGAAAGATACAAATATCTAGGCCCCACCTTGACAAAGGTGCCTGGTACGTGGTCCGACCCCATTACAAACATATTCACGGCTGCACTTAAAAAACTGGTTTCTTAAGAGGAAACTTAAATCATCCACATAAAAGACCAGGTTACTGGCATACAACGCCTGCATTAAATCAAAACAGGAGTATAGCTCGGTTGTTTGGAATCCTCAATAATATTGCCTTGACTGAGAAAGTTCAACAAAAGGCTGTCAGATTTATACTTAGCAAGTATAAAAGAGACAATTGGCTAACATAACTTATGCAAATTAACAGCCTGCAAACAGTGAAATCTCGTACGAAATTAATCGGCTAACGTTCCTACACAAAATTTTCTTTGGTGAAGTTACAAGTCTGCCCAACTGTGTAAAACCACTATCTCAGAAAAACAAGACATATCCACAAATTTTCATTGGCACCTGTTTTTGCTCATACCACGGGTGTCAAAAATAGTTTTTTCTCCACAGGACCACTACTGACTGGAACTAAATGCCAATAAGCGCTTTTCAGTCCAAAGATATTGAAAAACAACCTGAACCTTTTTTTCCTAAGTTTAGTTCTGGATAATGTATATACAGTGGAACCCTGATTATACCAGTTTCACGGAGACCACGCAAAACTGTCGTATAGCCCGGGTGTCATATAATAGAAAAACTAAAATTATAGGCAGAAGCACTCATTATCATCTTCATCAGCCTGACTGGAGGACAAAGGCCTCTCCCGTGATCCGCCAATCAACCCGGCCTTGCGCTTTTTGTTACCACGTTATACATGCAAACTTTTTAATCTCATTGGCCACCCAGCTTTTGTCGTCACTTCATTCGTTTGCCTTCTCTGGGAATACAATCAGTTACCCTCAATGACCAGCAGTTACTTAACATATGTGCCGCGTGCCCGGCCCATGCCCATTTCTTCTTCATTTCAAATATAATATCCTTAACCCCAGTTACTTCCCTGACCCACTCTGCTCTCTTCTTGTCTCGTAAAGTTACAGATATTATTTTCCTTTCCATCACATGCAGCTTCGTCCTCAATTTCAGCTGGACCCTCTTTGTAAGCCTCCAGGTTTCTGCTCCGTAGGTATGCACTGGCAAGATGCAGCTGTTATATACCTTCTTCTTGAGGGTTAGTGGCAGATTACCATTCATGTTTTGAGAATACTTTCCGAATGCGATTTACCCCATCTTTATTCTTCTAGTTATTTCACTCTCATGGTTCGGCTCCGCGGCTACTACCTGTCCTAAGTAGACAAATTCTTTTACAACTCCCAGCGTCTCTCCACCTATCACAATATGCTTTTTTTTGCTGAGACTGTCGCACATGGCTTTAGTTCTGTGCATATTAATTTTAAGACCTACTTTTCTGCTTTCCATGTCCAGTTCTGTAATCACAAGCTGTAATTCGTCCCCTGAGTTACTCATCAAGGCAATGTCATCAGCAAATCGCAGGTTACTAAAATACTCTATTAACCTTTATCCCTAACTCTTCCCAAATTAAGTTCCCCGAAAATTCTTCTAAACATGTAGTGAATAGCATTAAAAAGATCGTGTCTGCTCGCGTACTGTGTACTGTCTGTTCTCTACGAGATCGTGTACTGTCTGTTCTCTACAAACTATTTATAAAAATAATAGCTGATAGAATTAAGGCGACATTAGAGTTCAATCAAATATAGGACCAAGCAGGATTTCGTACAGGCTACTCTACAATAAACCATATTCATACTATAAATCAGGTAATAGAGGCACTCAGCCCTGCCCAAAAAACAGGTTCAGAATAAGGCCATGGCACAAGCTTGTACCTCTGCAAGGAAAGTAGATTATGTTATTCTTGCTAGTGACACCTAATGGCAGCATTACTTAGTTAGAGGAGATGAATCTTTATTCTCAACTTAAAAAAATCAAATCCAACGCGCATCCTTCTACCGATGAACAAAGTCCAATAATCCCCTGTGCATGAAAACGTGACTGAAACCGTGTTGCCAACAGCTTCCCTTTAAGATAATCAGACACAGTGTCATCACTACTATATAATGACGACAGACCGAGAGTTCTCCTCGAATGCCTTCGTGCGCGACTGATCTGTGTGCATTGTGATTGGTTGGCTTGTTGATGTCCCGCTGTTATTATGAACATTGACTTCCAGTAAAAGTAATTTTGCACAATGAGAACAGCTGCATCGCGCCCTTGTGTGCAGGCGAGCCTGTGGCTGCCAGTGCGACAAAAGCAGAGATCAGCTGTATGTTGACCAGGAAAAGTTTCCACAGACTAAAAACATTAAAATATCAGCTATTCAGCCGGCTGAAGCTACTCTGTGTGGGTAGAGCTGGACTAGGTAACGACCCTGGATACATAGGCATGCGAACGAGGCGTATGTAGAAGCACATGAACTTCCAAGAAAATATATTTGCGATTCTAAGAGTACATCCTGTTTCTCCAATTTTCGAATTGTCAACCTACAGGAACAAAAGGTCATATCTTGCCCTCGTGAATATTTGGATGACGTTTGATTTGATTAAAAGTGTTTTTTGTTTCTGACGGAATCTGAAAGTCATCGTAAGATACAAGGTTGGCGTAAAACTGCTTTGTATAACCAAGGCTTTTAATACATTACTTCTATCAGAATTTTGCCAGGGCCAAACTAAGTCATCGTAAAACGTGGCTACTAATCACGAAACGGGGGGACGTTTGATCAAAGTTCCACTGTATATGGCGTGAGCTGGCAGCACCTAAGTGAACTATTAGAAGACTTTTGCTGCATATGAGTGTTTTTTTTTTTTTCACTGTTTGTGTGCCATAACACAGCTATTCGAGTGTTCTGTAAGTTATCCGAATAAGTGCTGTGACATTGTACACTTTTCTATTTTTCGTTGCCCCTCTTACTTGGGCCTAAATATAGGCCTGCAGTGTCTGTAAATAAATAATAAAATAAAATAGATCAACTTGCACAAACCAACCACAGAGCTGGCATAAAGAGCTGTCAGCTGCCAGCTCTAATAAGAACACATGCTGCATGGCACCAACAGGCCGAAAAAAAGTGTTCCGCAGTAGCTGTCCTGGCAGCGTCGACATTCCCATGTTTAAAATGCACATATGTATACCCCATAAAGTGGACGAGGGGATGACCGCGCTGTAGCTCAGTTGGTAGAGCATCGGACACGTTATTCAAAGGTCACAAGTTCAGTCGCTGTCAGCAGCAAGGTGTCGTTTAGCGTACGTTGCTTTGTTCACACTTACAAAACAATTATACTTCTAATACCATTTCCTATACTTTACTTGTCTGTTAGTTCTCATTATTATTGTGCCTAGCAAAGAAAAAATGAGCCCCCCTTAAATAATTTCCCCTCCCGTTCTCCATACCAGATATGAGGTACTTCTCGGAAAGGACGACTCGGGTGACGGGGCTGCGGTGAACAGTGAAGGTTTGGAACAGCTGCGGACCGTGTCCCACTGTCTCCGGGTGCTGCACAATCACCCGCACTGTGCCAGCACTCGTGCCGTATGCTATCTCTATCCAGTTGCCGCACAGACCTGGGAGAAGAAGCAAAGACGTTGCACACCTCTACCACAAACAAAATGAGCCCCTCATATTTGCAGTGATGCTACTGGCTTACGTTGCTTTCGAGTGGCAAAAGTGGCTTTTGGAACAGATATTGCTAGAATCAAATTTAAGACACATACTGTGTTTAGAAAGAAATCAGTATCAAGTCATCGTTCCGATAAGCATACTTGGCTTCCTCAGAACAGAACTTTTGTGTTCTGGCTTTGAGATAGACAAGTTTGCTTGTCAAAATTTTAGCCCAACACAACCACTTTTTACAAATTTTTTTTTTTATTGCAAGCTTCCATCTACTGTTTCCTACCATTTTCTGAATAGTGTTTTTATGGCACACGAATGATAAAATCACTATGTTCTGCACACTATTCAACTATAATAGAGTAAAAAAAAAGGAAAATTATGTCACACATAGATAACCTGATCATATTTAGTAAAAGAGCCAATGACTAAATTTAAAACCATAACACTTTGTAACCATAACACTGAAAACCATAGCACGTGACTGAAGATCAGTTGACTGCACTGCCGATTTTTTGAACGCCACATTTTTCAGACATGCTTGCTAATTCAAGACGATTTCTCATTAGCATCACGAGCCTTGTCAATATCTATGTATAAATACATCTGAAATTTTCGACGCTGAAACTCTTCAGCGTCCAATTTTTTCGGCTGTTGGCCTACATTCTAGGTATGAAGCAGCATTACTTAAAAGTCCATACCTCTGTTACTTTTATGACCTCGTCAGCTTAAACGAGTGCTTTTAAGAGTCATTCGGCGTCACAAAAATTCCGCTTTGCAGCAATGCATAAATGCTATGGGGCGATGTTTAACGGATAAGCACCGAAAATGCTCGGAAGCGTGATGGCGGCAATGCGGCAAACATGCCAGTATATGATAAGAATCTTCAGCTAACTGCATGTGGCGCTGTTGTTGGCGTACAGCACGGTTTTAATCACTCACGCACACTGCCGTCCACACTGCCTTTCTGTGCAAATCAGCTAAATGCGCAGCACAGATGTGCTGCCTTCATGAACGAAAGCAGCTCGCCATCACCGCGTTCATGTGCAATCAGAAACGGAGTGGGCATCAAGAACACATTTTGATAACAAACATGTACATACGAAAAGGCCCAGGTAGAAACAGTGTCAGCTGCGTTCGCGATGCGCTCCACACAACTAGGAACAACTGGTCTCGTGTGGCAAATGGCATACGAGATGTCACCCGAGATTTTCGTACAGTGGCACATCTTCTAAGAGCACACACGCATCGCGGAGATCCGAACAAGTATTGCTCTATTTTGCTTCACCCTTATGTTCTGAGTCATCGTTTCCACACGTTCCATGCAATAAATCCGCAACCTATTCCGCGCTTTGCTGGCATCGATAGTGCTTATCATGCGACGCAAATTTGCAAATGAACATTAGCAGGTCCTGAATGTATTTACAGCAGCCTTGGTGTGCACCGAAGTGCCTGATAAGTGTTCTCTAGGAGGCTTTGAAGCTATTTTAGATGGGGCCGTGGCGATTTCATTACTTGAGCGGAATAATAAAAACTCATGAATCTTTTTTCAGATGACTTCGTGGTGCCTAGAAAGCCCCAAAAATCGGGCATTAACTGCGTCCTAACAGTGAAATATGGCCCAGTTTCGCTAGGCTTGGCTCGGGTTGGATCTAACGCAGGTGCACCGAGATATCGCTTTGAACGAGAAAACTTTAAGAAGTTTCGTTTCTAAAAGTCGGAGCACGCCCTTTGGTGCAGGTTGGGCGCAGACTCGCCAAATATTGAGGAAATGTAGCAGCGTGCAGCAGCCATGGCAATTTGGCGCAGTTTGGCGCAGTGGTAGTATCACTGCATTTGCTTGCCAACACTACAAGTCGAGAGTTACGAAATGCATTTACTTGTAAAGGCATTTACCGGTGCTCTGAAAATATTTTCTTCCTTCGAGGTTTCATTATTGTGGGTCCTGACTGCATTTCTATGTTTAAAAATTTCAGATTCAAGTCAAAGCAAATTGAGACCCTGAAATATACCTTGAAATATTCACACCAGCCTAGTAGTAAGACCCTCCAGTCCCCATAAACTTAAGCGAAGGGAGTGTTTTAACGAGAACAAAGAATGAAAATAAGTGCTTTTGGAGACTTTCAACAAGTGTCCCCCCTTTCCGAAAAAAGTTCCTGCCTACTCACCTGAGTCCAAGTATAACAAGACCAGAAAGCAGAAAAAAAGGTTTTCCTTATTCCTGACCCCTTATGCAAAACTTGATAAGATGAATGCACTAACTTGTCTTTGGGGTAAGGTAGACACTGATAGCTGTAATTGGGTCAGCTGACGGGTCCCGGTAGAGCTCGGTCACCAGCAGGTCGTTGTCCTTCATACGTAGCGGAAACTTCTGCATATCTGAGAGAAGGAAAGCACTTGCTTGTTGGCTGGCAACAAATGCACAGATTGCTGCAACTGCTCTGTAGAATTTGCGATCAAAAAAGGAATTTCATCTACATATTTTAGAGCGGCTATACAGTGAGATAATATTATTTATCAGAACAGACACACTGCTTATTCACGGATAATAAAAATAACGATAGCAAAGCGACCCATAAAGACCTACTCCATGTTTGTAAACAGTGGTAGATGCTGTCAATATATGTAGGTTTTATGTAGCGATGTCACAGCATGCTGGCTCCACCCAACTGTCCCAGCTCAAGGCTCTCATGATCACATGACAAGTGTCGAAGCAAGTGCGGAGCTGCCTTCAAGCACCACGCATCGGGACGCCTCCCGCATGTTTACAAGCCACGGCCGTGTCAGAAGTTGCAATAGTCATAAGAGGGACTCTGAAATGAACTTATGAGCCATGTTGATGTGTAGCTAAAGCTTTTATAACTACACCAAAATGTGATGTATCTTAATGGCAGGAATGTGGCTCATTTGTAAAATCTCATCGCCACTGTGGTAGTTTACGTCACCCGTGTACTTTTTAATTTGTTAACTAACGCAAGAATGACCAACCCAATTTAGCGATAGGCTCTAGGGTACGATACACAAACACACGGTGTAAAATTACATTTTTATGAATTTTTACGGTAAATCCTCGCATATAAATGCGCTAAAGATGTGATTCATAAAATGACAAGGCCGATCTCAGTGAGACTTTCATTCATCATACGCTTGCAATAATGTTTCAACAACATGCCATGAACAGAGCAGTTACATACCTGACAGGTCCACGGCTAAATTCGTACGCTCAAGCTAAGAACACAAAACATGTGCACATCGTAAACAGACTCAGCAAGCTTCCCGAGTGCCGTTTTCTGTGAATTCTCACAGCCATAAAAATCTCGTGAAGCGCACAGCAGCCAGAACAGCCCAGCCCAGTACACTTGTGTCCAGTGTGTCATTGTAGCCGCATATAAGGAAAAGCATTGTTGAAATCATCTTTTTGTTCGCTGCTCATGTAGAAAAGAACACATGCTTGATGACCAAGTGACGCCTTTAGTACCCGCAAGTATATAACAAAGTTCTTTTAATGGATCTAAGACTTCGGCAGTTCACGAGTAATCCTTTACACCACGAATGATCCTTTACACATGACAATGCTATCCACAACATTCACATGCTTTGAGGTACGTGTGCTCGCCTATGCCACCTCTCAAGGCTTACTCCAAAAAAAATGTGTTGCAGCACATTACAATTACAAATGCTTGACAAAGTTAACCCTATTTGCAGGGTAAGCTGCTCCAAAAAATAACCAATGAATCAGCATCATAGTCAAATTCTCGTGTTTTACAGCTGCGGCTAATTTTCTTGCGACAGTCTTCGTGAACAGAAAACTGGAAAAAAAAAAAAGACCTGGTCCCTCTTGAGCCTTCCCTCGCAAATAGCCGTAATAGCACATCAGTGCACCGTATTTTTTTCTTTGCACGATGACAAACAGCAAACACCAGCGAAAACACAGCAGCAACGGTAGTAGGCATCATGGCTTTTGCCCACCACACGTAACTAAACGCCGATGACAGCGCCACCGCATTTTCGTGACGTATGTATGGTAAAATGTGTCTATAATGACTATTGCTTCTATAATTGCTATAGTAATGAAAATGCATCAGTAATCGCTATATAATTGCTATTGCAATGAAAGAAAATGAGGTGAACAGGAAACGCATGTTAACACGAAAAAACCTAAGACATTCACAATCATGGTGGCTTGGTGACCCGAGGCCCCCGCATTCGGAGAGCTTCGTGTCAGACAGTGTAACCGATGGTTTCCTTATTCACCCACTCTTTTCCTGAATTATCTGAGATGTGTCACTGATTATGCGCTAATCTTTTTTCTCGTTGAGTATTACAAATAAGTTCTACAGAATGTAGTGATAGCCTCAAGAGGTCTCTTCAATTCGAGATTCATTCTGGCATGCATGAAGGTCTAGCAATGATAGGCAAGCTGAGGCCTTCTGAATAATGCCCTCTACCACCGTACAGCGTCAATGTAATGCGAGTCCTTACAAACCCTACCTCTGTGAATGTGAGGAACTGTTTCTACAGATGTTGAAGGCACAAGGGCGAGTTCCTTCTCCTAACCAGAGTGGCTACTGGCCCCTGAAAGAGGGAGCACCTGTTTCTGAACTGTTAGCTGTGTGGGAGTACAAAAACATGGCACTACATTCGGGAGAGGGGGGCTTATTTATGCTAACAACAAACGAGGGTTTACGGCCATACACATGACGCCCTCTTGAAAAAGTGCTATGTTAGTGATGATGTTAGCATTTCCCATGAAAAAGTTCAGATCATGTTTTACAAACATGGATTTTGTGAACAATCTGCACACACATCTTTACATCAATCTAGCCAAGTAACGCTTCAGCATTAAAAATAATTTTTCTAAAAATGGTACTTTTGTGACCTGTAAAAATTGCCACAAATACTAAGAAAGTTCCTCACATCTTGGGTTGATATGTAGCCCACCATAGCAATTTGTATCACCTAGACGAGGTATATTCTGACACACACACAAACAAAAAAAAACTGCCAGGCCTGCGTGGAATCTGCAATACAGTCACAGCGAAAGCTGGAAAAGCGGCCTTCTGGAGCTTTTTTTTTTTTTAGACACTCTTGTGGCAAACACATTTGCATGGTACCCACTATGACATAAACCATTATACAGTGAGGCCTTGATAATACAATCATGGCTCATATCGACTTCGGGGTGATAAGACTTTTTCTTTGGTCCCCGCCAAGGTCCATTAGCCTGTAATGTAACGGAATACAGTTGTTGTGAACCAATTTTCACCGGGAAATGTTTGATTTGAAGTGCTGTCAAGGATGATGCACTCAGCTCTGGCAAGTCTTGGCACTCTCCAGCAAGACCAGTTGCAAGAAAAAAAAGAAACACTGCAACTGGAAACAGTGCGTAAAAAGAACTGCAGAGGTTGCTACTATTGTGTTGGTTAGTGGCACCCCCTCCTAGTTGTGAATAGTTAGTGTTCGCTGAAGAGAGTTGTTGTTTGGGTTCACTGTTGACCTGCTGTTCCGCTACCATATCCTTAGGAGCTCTAGTTATGCCTAGGTTACCATCCCCTGTGAAGAAACAACACAACAAAAAGAACCTATATCGTAAATGGTGTTGCATACATGGTTGGCGTTTGGTTGCTTACTGTTGCTGGTACAATCGCATTGAAAATCATGTATTGTAGCATTGGGCTCATTAGTGTCTGCTGTGAAAGGTGTTTCTGGGGCTTTGTAATGAGAGCACCTCACGATGATAAAATTACCAGAGTAAAGCTTTTCCTGTGAAACAGATGTGTTCACGTCTCTTTTGAGCTTAATAGCATGCTCATTGACATAGCTTTTTCTTTGCCTGGAACTAGAAATGTGAGACGCCATCTCCCAAACGGTGGTGCCTGCAGAGGTCACTACTGCTACTGTGTTGGCCAGTGCCCATCTAGCTGCTCTGAAGGCTCTGTACAAAGTTGAATGAAGGACAATTGTCGTTTGGGTTCAGTATCGGCTGGCTGCCTCGAAGTGGGCTCAACACACTCCGGCCATGGCTTGGCTACTGCCCGCTGTGAACTGATAACACTATGTGGTGTCAGAAGCATTGAATATCGACGCCGTGCTTGGCCAACATCTCTACCATGTCTATTGAGGAGGCTCGAAATAGTTTTACTATCAAGTTTCACGCGCCTGAACTGTTCGACTTCGGCAACACCAGGAGCTGGGCAACGTGAACCAGTTGCCTTGAGGGCTACGCTGCAGTAAATCTTGGGACTCAAGATTACATTGGAAGAACCACGTGTGCACTCGCTACCATATTGTATGGGACCCAATGCTCATCCACTCGACTCAATCTCACTTGATGGTATGTCCGTGACCTCGTACAAGACTACGGCTTTACTGCGCACGTCGTGCATTCTAATAATTACCTGTTTCACAGCCACGAACAGCAACAAAACGAGACTATGCTGAATTATGCAGCTTCATGAAAAGTTGCACCTATCCTTCCACAGAAGTCCAAAAGAGACTAGTTTTGCGACAGATTTGCTCTCGGCTTGTACAATTTGTGTCTTTCGGACAAGCTTTGCCAAAGTGCTAAGCTCCTTCTCCAAGAGGCATGGACGCAAGCACACCAGGCGGAAGACGCAGAAAAAGAAAAGCAGCAGTTAACAACTGACATCTGCAAAGCCCAAGCGCTTTACGGATAGACGCCATGAAAATGCAAAAGTCTGCTCACCATCACCAGAACATGAAGTCTCCTTTGATCATCACAATGGCGAAGTCTCGTATTAGAGAAGGACGCCACGCTCTTGGTGTGAACGTACACAGGAGACGCGATCGGATCGAACCAAAACAACAAACATCTATTTAACTGCTTTTAGATCGATGATATGGTCAGCCAAAATATTATAGATTGATTGTGATCAATGTGCTATAACATCGTTACACAATATTCCACAACACTCAACAACATAACAAACACAAGGTGGCGAACGCTTGACTCCCCACGAGGGCCCGCGATTGACAACCTCCTGTGCTGCCCTCACGGGCCCACCGCCAAAGACAACCATTCGTGTCAACCACCATGCGTCAAAGAGGCCCGCTCCTCTCTCATCTGCTGCCACGCAGGCTTGCCGCCAAGTGTCACCGCCGGCGCTACCGTTCTAACCATGATGATGATGGTGGTGGTGGTACACTGCTCATGAGCACGACGCTACCTACTGCTCGATAGCTGTGAACCTGAAATGCAACCTACGCGCGATACATGTGCACTACGAGCACAAACGACTTTACAGGGAGCGTTAGCACCCCCACATATTTGCAACCTTCAAATCATGTCCGAAAAAAAAAAAAAGAGAGAAATCCGCAACGCAAGCTCTAAGAAAAAATGAACACATGTCCCCAAAAAA